GAAATTCCTTGAATCAAACGAGAATGAAAACACAACATACCAAAATCTTTGGGACACAGCAAAAGCAGTGATCAGAGGCCAATTTATAGCAATAACTGCACACATCAAAAAAAAAAAAAAAGAAGAAGAAGAAAAAGCCAAAATCAACACTTTAAACCAGCATCCCCAACAATTTAAAAAAGAACAGCAAGGAATGCCTACAGTCAGCAGAAGAAAGGAAATAATAAAGATTTGAGCAGAAATCAATGAAACAGAAAATAGAAGGGCAATAGAAAAAATCAACAAGACCAAAAGTTGGTTTTTTGCAAAGATCAATAAAATTGACAAACCACTAGCAAATTTAACAAAGGAAAAGAAGGAGATAACACAAATAACATGAATAAGAAATGAAATGGGTGACATCACAACAGAACCAACTGAAATAAAAGGGATAATACCAGGATACTTCCAACAAATTTGAAAATCTGGAAGAAATGGACAGATTTCTAGAAACTTCTAGTTTTAAAAACTGTTTGGGTTACTTGATGGAACAGTGGCCATTCTTGGAGCAATGTGAAGGAAGAAACAAATGTTCAGGGCCGGAAGAAATGAGAGAAAAGGAACACTTCTACTTTTAAAAACTATTTGGGATAGAGTGGGAGAAAATGTGGAACAAAACTCAAAATCATGGAAAAAATGACCAGGTTTGCTAGTCGTATAGAGCCTGGTGAGACCCTTAAGACTATAGCTCCTAGCCACCCTTCAGGTCTGGAATTAAACTTAATTTTGTGGATTCCAGCCAAACAATAGACAGAGACATGGGGTGAACATTTACATCAGGTAGATACACTTTTTGGAATGATCAATCATGGGAGAACAGAAGGGCAGTGTTTGCACAAGGAGACAGCTCAGGGCACAAGTGCATGGGAGGGAAGGACACAGGGAAAAGGTAACTACGGAGAGGAAGTGGAAAGAGAGCTGTTACATTGTGTGAAGTTGCAGTCAATGTCATGAGACAAAATGGGTGTGAGCTGCTGTATGGAAAATGAATTCATTGTGTAAACTTTCACCCAAATCACAGTAAAAATACATATTAAAAAAACAAGAAGATCTACAAATGGCATACACAGACATTTAAAAAAAAAAAAAAATGTTTTGGTCATCTGATAGAACAGTGGCCATTCTTGGAGCTGGAGCAATGTGAAGGAAGAAACAGATGTTCTGGTCCAGAAGAAAAAGGAGAAAAGGAAAAGGAACATGTGTACATAAATAAACATAGGCCTCTCTGCTGATTGGAAGCATGTTAGTACTGATGTATCAAACCTGTAAACGTCACACTTCAGCCAATTTCTTTGAATTTTTTTGTCATCCAATCCTTTTGTTACACCCAAATTTCCTCCCCTTCTCATTTCTAACAAGAGGTGAAATTACCTGCACGGGTCATCAGGAAGGAGCCTGGGCCTGATTAGTGACAAAAGGAGATACTCAACTCTTGAGTAACTGTATAGAGTAGATCGACTCCTTACACACTTCAAAAACATCTTCTGATGCCCCTCAGTGTTCTGATCACTGGACTGATTGTCTGTAGGAAGTAGCAACAAAAATAGGTGGTAAAGAAAGGAAAATTCTTCCTTGGTGAAAGCCTCTATATATTGTTTTTTCAAAACAGTTGTCTGTGATAACTAGTGTTTCTTTCTCTCCATCCCTCCTTCTGTCTCTCCTTCCTCTCTTCTCTCAGATCTTCAGTGGCCTAGAAATCTGTTGCTATGGGCCCTTTACCAAGATGCCTACAGGTAAGAGACTGAGAGAACTACAGAAACCCAGCACCAGCCTTTCCCTTCTATAGAAGTGTTATAGAAGAGATCACCTTGCCTTGGTTTTGTTCTTAGGAGGATTTTCAGATTGGTAAGATGCTCTAGAGGTTATTCTGTTTCTCTATCACCCTCCAAACAAAATTGTATCTAAGTTTTATCCCGTGGCCAAAAGCTAGACTTTGCACCCTTTCTCAAAAACAAGTAGGCAGACTATAAAGAGTTAAGATCTAAGACACAGTATATTTTTTGTTCAGATGGGCTAGAGTACTGTTACTGCTCATTTGGTCTGAAAAAAGGGAATTAATAAATTAGGGAGAAGATACCTTTGTTCTTGTAAACGTTAGGAAAGAGCTCTGCTCTTCCTGAACCACCTTCGTTTGATACAGAGAAGAAAGCAGAACTGCTGCATAAGCCCTGTGGGCCTGGAGCCCCACACAGGCCCAGAGCAGGGCATGACTCCTGATGAACATTTTCTAATTAAATTTGACAGTGAATGTACTGTTATGTTTAGGACTGCTGTGGGGCTCAGTTCTGCAGTTGTATGGCACTGAGGCCCCTGTTGTGTATAGATTTGGTTTGTTCTTTTCAAAACAAAGGTTCAGGGCCTTCACATTTGCCTCCTGTGCCCCCACTTCACTCCGGGGACACAGGTCCTCTTACTCCTCAAAGGAGGACCTTAGCCTGCTGGTCAGGGGCAGATGAGTGGCAGTAGGAGAGCTTGGCAAAGTAATTTTGCTTCTGTCTTCTTTAGTGGTTATTGATTGGATTTTTATGAAATTTCCAAGTGCCACTCAGGGACTTCTCAGTGTTCTTGTACTGTGGTCTAATGAAAACCAGGGTCTCTAGAATGTATCCTGTTTGGGGAGAGTAGCTGGCCTTACTCACTAGGATAAACAAAAGCATCTCACCAGTTACTGGAAATAAGCTTGTGGAAAAGAGTGACACCACGGATGACTTGATAGTCACACCCACAGATGGCCAGAAGGCCCACTGGTCAGTTCTGCTGCTGTTCCAGCTACAAAAGAAACACTCCTACACTCTCTTCTGACTTTTGTTTCCCCTGAGCATATTGGTTCCAGCTCACCATATAGCTTTTCCCCACCGATGTGCTGAGTCCCTGTCCAGAATGACGTTTATTTTTTTGACTATATGAATTATCTCCTTGTATCTTGACATTTATAGTAATTACAGCCAAGTGTGGGGCTCTCAGTGGCTGTGATTATCAATTACCAACACAGAGTTAAGGGGGGAGGGGAGGCAGGTGTGTGCTTTTTCCCCCACAATGGCTTAGCCAGCAATTTAGCAAATTAATGAAAATTAGATCTTGGATTTTTTTTTTTTTTTCTTTCAAAGTGTTTTACTTGAGTAATTATCAAATCTGATCTACTACCAGGCCTTATGGGGGACTGATAACCAGAGTAAGTGGCATTTCAGTGGCAAATTCATTTAGAATCCAAATGCCTAGTATGGATTCTAGTTTAAGGCCATTCTGGCCCTTTGGAGCAGAAGAGATGAGGACTCTGCCGCTGAGAAGTCTGACTGTAAGCCTTCATCCAGAGGAGTATGGAGTAGAGGGCCCAGGTTAAATATGTAGATTGCTGTGGTAATTATAGGTCTAAATGTCCTATTTAGATCAATTGGAGTGGATGTTACAGCTGTGTGGGGCTTCTGTCGTGGAGGAGCCTTCAGCATTCACCCTTGGCACGGTAAGTCAAAAAGGGAGGACACAATAATATCTCTCCTGTGATAGAGCAGAGCTAGCACTCATTAGTCCTTGTGGACCCCCTCTAATGTAACCTCAGAAGCCTCGCCTCCCTTTACCCCCAGCTTCTCTAACTCTGTACCTGGGCCAGAAGACTTCGTCTGTAAGGGATAACTAAGGAATTGGGAGCCACAAATATTTCATGCACTAAAGGAAGGCTCTCTCCTTCTTACATTCCCCCTACTTTGTGTGGCTACCCCCAGAGTAGTCTACTTCAATAAACCATCAAGAAATGGTGACATCCACATGGTTAAGAGGGACATCAAGATCAAAGGACATAACATACTACACAAAAACATTGCTCTACATCCTACTGTAGTGAGTTAGCGACTGGGGTCTTAAAGTATGCAAATGGCCATCTAATGCAATAATTGGTCTCTCCTCATCTGGAGCAAAGAAGAATGAAGAAAATCAAAGATGTGTGGAAACAACTAGTCCGAGGAACTAGTGGACCATGCAAACCTCAGCCTACATGATCCTGACACCAGAACTATATGGTGCCCTGCTACCACTGTCAGCCACTCAGGGATCAAAATAGGAGATTCCAGACAGAGGGAGAAAAGCGTGGAATGAAACTCAAAATCATTAAAAAAAAAAAAAAAAAACAGGCTTACTGGTCTGATAGACTAGTGAAACCCCTGAGACTGTGGCCCTTAGTCACCATTCAGGCCTGGAATTTAACTCACTCCTGTGGCTTTCAGCCAAACAATAGACAGGCCTATAAGGTGAACAATTATACCAGGTAGGTACACTCCTTAGGGCAGTCAACCATGGGAGATCAGAAGGACACCATTTGCACAGGGTGATAGCTCAGAGAGCAGGCCTGCATAGGAAGGAAGGACACAAGGAAAAGGTAACCACAGGGAGAAAGTGGTAAGAGGGCTATTGTGGGGATTGCAATCAGAGTCGTAAAACAAAATGTGTTGAATGGAAAACAAATGTATTCTGTAAACTTTCATTCAAATTGCAATTAAAAAGAAAGAAAGAAAGAAATTGTCAAGTCTCAAAGAGTCTACAAGAAAACTTGTACAGCTAATAGAGGAATGTAGCAAAGTTGTAGGGTACAGGGTCAACAAACAAAAATCAATTGGGTTTCTATACACCAGCAATGAAAAATCTATAGCAGATAAGAGAATAAATACCTGGTAATAAATCTAACCAGGGATGTGAAGGACTTAAAAGTGAAAACTATAAAACACTGCTGAAAGAGATTAAAGACAAAAGGGAAGATGTTATGTGTTCATGAATCGGAAGACTTAATATCACCAATATGTCAGTACTACTCAAGCAGTCTATAGATTGAAGGCTATCCTAATCAAAATCCCAACAGCCTTTCTTTACAGAAATTGTCAACTTTATGGAATGGCTAGAGGACCCAAATAGCTAAAACAGTGTTGAAAGAAAAGAACAAAATAGGGCTCGTACTTCCTACTTTTAAAAAATATATGCTAATCAAAACAACATGGCATTGGTATAACAATAAACACATAGACCAATGGAATAAAATTGTGAGTCCAGAAATAAACCAACACATCTATGGTGAACTGATTTTTTACTAAGTCCGTTCGTTGGGGTAAGAAGAGTCTCTTCAATAACTTGTCGTCGTTAGGTGCCATTGAGATGGTTCTGATTCATAGCAACCCTGTGTACAACAGAATGAAACATTGCCTGGTCCTGCACCATCTTCACAATTGTTGCCATATTTGAGCCCATTGATAAATTCATCTAATTGAGGGTCTTTCTCTTTTTTCCTGGCCCTCTGCTTTATCATGCATGATGTCCTTCTCCAGGGACTCATCCCTCCTGATAGCATGTTCAAAGTACATGAGATAAAGTCTTGCCATACTCGCTTCTAAGAAGCATTCTATCTGTACTTCTTCCAAAACAGATTTATTTGTTCTTCTGGTAGCCCATGGTTATATTCAGTATTCTTTGCCGACATCATAATTCAAAGGCATCGATTTTTTTTTTTTTTTTTGTAATTTGGGTGAAAATTTACAGAGCAAATTTACTTTCCATACAGCAGTTCACATACACTTTGTCTCATGACATTGACCACAATTCACAATGCAACTCCCCTCCCACTTCCTCCCAAAACCACCTCTTCCCTGTGTCCATCCCTCCATGCACCCCTGCCCCCTGAGGTGTCTCCCTGTGCATAAACAGCCTTTCTTTCTCCCATGATTGTTCTCTCAAAGGACTGTATCTACCTCAGGTAAATGTTCAACTCCTATGCCTGTCTTTTGCTTAGCTGGAAGCCATAAGTGTAGGTTCAGTTCCAGACCTGAAGGGTAGCTAGGGACCATAGTCTCAGTGGTTCCACCCAGCTCTATCAGACCAGCAAACCTGGTTCCCCTTTTATTTTTCCAAATGATTTTGAATTTTGTTCCACATTGTTCTCCCGCTCTATCTAGGATCTCCTACATAGATCCCCTTCCAAGGGATTGACATTGGTAGCTGGGCACCATCTAGTTCTTCTGGTCTTATAGTCGTATAGGCTGTGTATCGCATGGTGTACCAGTCACTAGGACTAATTGTTTCCAAGAATCTTTGGTTTTCTTCATTCTTTGCTCTGGATGAGGAGAGACTCATCGTTGCACCTAGATGGCTGCTTGCAAACTTTTAAGATCTCAGTCGCTAACTCGCTACTACTCGCTCCTCGCCAAAGTAGGAGGTGGAACAATGTTTTGTGTAGTATGTTATGCAAAGGCATCAATATTGGGGGGTCTTTTTTATTCATTGTCCAGCTTTCACGTGCATATGAGGCAATTGAGAATACCATGGCAGGGGTTGGGCACACTTCAAGGTGACATTTTTGCTTTTTAAAGCCTTAAAGTGTTGCAGCAGATTTGCTCTATGCAATACATCGTTTGATTTCTTGCCTGCTTCCACAGGCATTGATTTTGGACCCAAGTAAAACGAAATCCTTGACAACTTCAATCTTTTCTCCATTTCTCAAGATGTTGTTTATTGGTCTAGTTGTGAGGATTTTTTTTCCCCCTTTATGTTGAGATTTGGTTGAAGGCTATAGTCTTTGGTCATCATCAGTAAGTGCTTCAAGTACTCTTCACTTTCAGCAAGCAGAGTTGTGTCATCTGCATATCATTGGTGGTTAATGAATCTTATTCTAATCTTGATGCCATGGTCTTCATGTAGTCCAGCTTCTTGGACTATTTGCTCAGCATACAGATTGAGTAAGTGTGATGAAAAAACACAACGCTGATGCTTACATTTCCTGATTTTAAACCACACAGTATCCCCTTGTGTTCAAACAATTGCTTCTTGGTTTGTATACAGATTCCACATGAGCACAATTAAGTGTTCTGGATCCCATTCTTCACAATGTTATCCATAATTTTTCATGATCCACCCAGTCAAATGCCCTTGCATAGTCAGTAAAACACAGGTAATATCTTTCTGGTATTCTCTGCTTTCAGCCCAGCTCCATCTGGCATCAGCAATGATATCCCTTATACTACATCCTCTTTTAAATCCAGCTTGAATTTCTCTATGTACTGCTGCGATCATTTTTTAATTACCTTCAGCACAACTTTACATGTGTGTGATATTAATGATATTGTTAGATAGTTTCCACATTCTGTTGGATCACCTTTCTTTGGAATGGTCACGAATATGAACCTCTTCCAGTTGGTTGACCAGGTAACTGTCAGCCATATTTGTTGCCATAGATGAGTGAGTGCTTCCAGTATTGTATCCATTTGTTGAAACATCTTGGTTGATATTCTGTCAATTCCTGGAGCCTTGTTTTTTGCCACTGCCTTCAACACAGCTTGCACTTCTTCCTTCAGTACCATCAGTTCTTGATCATATCCTACCTCCTGAAATGGTTGAACATTGAGCAATTCTTTTTGGCACAGTGACTCTGTATATTCCTTCTATCATCTTCCTCCTCTCCCCCCATTTAGGTCCTTAATCCATTTTTAATTTGGTTTTATGTACAATTCCATCTTTTGATGCTTCCTGTATCATTCAATATTTTGCTCATAGAACCCTTCAATACTACAGCTCAAGGCTAGGATTTTTCTTCAGTTTTTTTCAGCTTGAGAAATTCCAAGCGTCTTCTTCTCTTTGGTTTTCTAACTCCCATGTATTTGCACATTTCATTATAATATTTTACTTTTCCGACTCGATGGCAAATAACAACAACAACACTTTGTCTTTGAGAGCCACCCTTTGAAGTCTTCTGTTCAGCTCTTTTACTTCATCATTTCTTCCATTTGCTTTAGCTACTCTGTGCAAGAGCAAGTTTCAGAGTCTGTTCTGACATCCATTTTGGTCTCTTTTTTCTTTCCTGACTTCTTACTGACTTTTTGCTTTCTTTGTGGATGATGTCCTTGATGTCATCCCACAATTCATCTGGTCTTTGGTCATTAGTGTTCAAATTTATTATTGAAATGGTCTCTAAATTGATATACTCAAGATCATATTTTGGCTCTTGTAGAATTGTTTTACTTTTCTTCAGCCTCAACTTGAACTTGTGTAGGAGCAATTGATGGTCTGTTCCACAGTCGGCACCTGACCTTCTGACTGATGATATTGACCTTCTCCATTGTCTCTTTCCACAGATGTAGTCAACTTGATCCCTGTGTATTCCATTCAGGAAGGTCCTTGTGTATAGTCCCCATTTATGTTGTTGCCAAAAGGTAATTGCAATGAATAACATTAGTCTTGCAAAATCCTGTCATGTGGTCTCTGACATCATTTCTATCCACCAAATCCATATTTCAATAGTGATGGCAGAATTGGATTTCCACATGCAGAAAAATGTAACAGGATCCATATTTCACACCATACACAAAAACAAATTTAAAATAAATTAAGGATCTAAATGTGTGAACTAAAACATAAAATTCTTAGAAGAACAAGCAGAGGCAACACTGTCAGGCCTAGCTTTCAAGAATGGATTATCTAATATAATAATAAATAAAAGTACAAGCAGCAAAAGACAAATATGTAGGACCTAATAAAAGTGAAAAACTTGTTCATCAAAAGACTTAACCAAAAAAAGTTAAAAGACAAGCTACCAACTGGGAGGATATCTTTGGAAACCATGTATTTGACAAGAATCTAATAGCTAAAGTATATATAAAACTGATGACAACAAAAAGACAAATAACCCAGTCATAAAATAGGCAAAGGACTTGAATAAACATTTCACCAAAGAGGGCTTTCGTATGGCCACTGAACACATGAAAAGATGCTCAGCATCATTTGCCATCAGAGAAATGCAAATCAAAACCACAATGAAATTCCATTTCATTCCCACTAGGATGTCTAAGAAAAAAAGGTGGCAGAATATAATAAATGTTGGTGAGGATATAGAGAAGTTGGAACCTTTATCCATTGCTATAAAAACCAAACTCACAGCCGTCGAGTTGGATCTGACTCATAGTGACCCTTCCTTGGGTTTCTGAGGCGGTATCACTACAGAAGTAGATTGCCTAACCTTCCTTCCCAGGAATGTCTGATGGGTTTGAACTGCCAGCCTTAAGGTTAGCAGTCAAATGCCTTAGGCACTACTCCATCAGAGCTCCTATCTATTGCTATAGGAATGCAAAATGGTATAGCCATTTTGTGAAAGTGTGGCAGTTCCTCAGCAAACTAAGAATAAAACTAACATGACCCAGCAGTTACACTATTAAGTATATCCCCCAAAAGACTTGAAAATAAAGACTCAAAAAGAGACATGTACACCAATGTTCATTGCAGCACTATTCACAACAGCCAAAAGGTAGAAACAACCTAAATGCCCATCAACAGATGAATGCATAAAGAAAATGTGATACACACATACAGTGGAATACTGCTGCTCAGCTAGTAGGAGAAATGAAGTCTTGATACATACTATACGGTGTGGATAGAGCTTAAAGATGTTACACTGAACAAAATAAGGCAGTCACAAAAGGGCAAATGTACAACCTCATTTATATTGGTTACCAGAGGAGGGGAGGAGGGAGAAAAAGGGTTAGCCGTGATGGAGAGGTTGCATTGATTAAGGGTAAGGTTACACAGCCAATTATTATAATTGCTGTCAATTTGTACACCTGTAAAAAGATGAATTGGCAAAAGTTGTATGATATATAGATTTACAACAATCACACACACACAAAAAAAGTACCTGCTGAGTCTGCAACCAAACATTTCATGGGATTTGGTTTCATGGGACATCCTAGTTAATTGACCAAATAATGTATTTAGTGCTTCTACTCTACTTCCTAAGGAACTCTGGTGGTGTAGTGGTTAAGACATTTGGCTGCTCCACTGAAGAAAGGTGAGGCAGTCTGCTTCCATAAAGATTTACAGCCTCAGAAGCCCAGTGGGGGTTGCTTTGAGTTGGGATCAACTTGATGGCATTGAGTTTAGTATTTCACTTGCTAATTTGTTGTATTATGCTGGGGTTCTTAAAAGCTTGCAAGTGGCTATCCAAGGCACAACAATTGGTATCTATTCACCTGGAGCAACAGAGAAAGGAGAGTTAGGAATAGAAGGAGGAAATGGAATGTATGGCTAATTGCCTCCCCTGAACAATTGCCTCCTTTGCTATGAGACCAGAACTGGATGTGCCCAGCTACTATTTCTGAACATTTTGAACAAAGATTTCATAGAAGAATCCTGATCAAAAGGGAGAAAATATAGAACAGAATTTTAAGTTTTTATGGACTCCAGACTTCCTGGAGCTATGAAGGTTGAATAAACCCCTGAAAGTATTGCCCTGAGATAATCTTTAAACCTTAAACCGAATATATCCCCTGAAGTCTTCTTAAACCAAACAGTAGTCTATCCTAATGAGTCAAAAAGGTCTTCCTTGAGCATTCTGCTCTTTCAAGAACAATCTACATGGGATCAAACTGACAACAGCAACTTGAAAGATTAGACAGGAATTTTAGGGGGCAGTGAGTTTATGTTAAGGAAGAACAACTCAAAGGAGGGTGAGAATGGTTGCCTAACTCAAAGAATGCAATCAGCCTCACTAAACTGTACATCTAGAAACTGTTGAATTGGTGTATGTTTTGCTGAATATGGTAATGAAGAAAGTAAAATTTAGAAGGAAAAAATATAAAAGAAATGGTGATGTGACTGTTGCAAAAGTCCTAGTCTGACACTCAATTCTGTTTCTTCCATGGAGATGCAGGGTGCTCAGCCAATTGTGGTTGTGCAGCCGGACGCCTGGACAGAGGACAGTGGCTTTCATGGTAAGGTGCCTGCATGTCCGTGTCTTACCAGCTCCTGGCGGGTTGGTGTAGTTCACCTTAGGTTGCCCTGTGCTGATTAGCATAGTTCTACACATTCCGGGTGTTCAAGAAATATTTGTTGAATGAATGAGTAAGTGAATGAATGACTAAAATGTCTTTTCTAAATTTTGATGTGGTTTGTTTTGTGTTATAAAAATAATGCATGATATATTTCCATTGGTGCAGGGGAGGTTAAATATGAATGTTTATCACAGAAAATATTCATCGACATTAAAACAATCCCAGCGATCCCACCACTTGGAGATGAGTCACCGTCTCTCCAGGCACATGTGTGCATGTGTTGGAATGTGTATGTGCATACATGTATTGTACACAAATGGGTTCATACTGTTTTGCCTTTTCCCTTCAGAATTGCAAACATTTTTCTACATCATTAAATTGCAGTGTTTTTTTGCTGTCTCTGGTTGGTTTTCCCTTTAGCGGATTGAAGCTCATGTTTATAAAGTTGTCAGAGGTTTGTGCGCTTTAACCAGCTGCCACTCCTCAGCCTTCTGAGTAAGGTCCTGTATCCTGAAACATTGCTGAAGGTCAACAATTCTGCTCTGACCTGCTTAACCCTAAGAACTCACACAGTCTGGTCCCTGGAGTAGATTGATGAGTCTGGCCTGAGAGAATGTGAATTAACACTAATCTCTGCTTGTGTTCTCTGTCTCTAGCAATTGGGCAGCTGTGTGAAGCACCTGTTGTGACCCGAGAGTGGGTGTTGGACAGCGTAGCCCTCTACCAATGCCAGGAGCTGGACACCTACCTGATACCCCAAATCCCCCATAGCCACTATATTGATTCTAGCCCACCCCGAGTGTAGAGACTTTCTTAACAGGACCCCAAGAAAAGGCTGAAGGGAATGGCTTTTCCAGGCTCTGGGAGCTCCTCTCACTGTTTAGTGCTTCCACAGTCCCGCTTATTAAATATTTTATGTACCTCACAGAACTTCTGGCTACGTGAGGATCCCTTAAAGATTTTCTGCTTCAAGTCTCCCTTTGAAATATGCCATGAGCACAAAATTGTGGTAATTTTTCACCTGAAAAGATTTAAAACCATTTAAGCCCCACCAATTGAGCAAGATGCTGATTCATTATTTATCAGCCCTATTCCCGGTACTAGGGCTGTTGGGAAACGTGGTTGGCTTCGGGCTTGGAGGCACAGAGTGGCTTGGCCTCTGGAGAATATAACTGGTCTCCTAGTTTGTTTCTAAAACCCCCTGTGCATAGAGGCAGAGAGTCAGACCTTCAATGAAATGGAGTGTACTTGGAGTTCTATGATGTGGCTTAAACAGAATAGTCTTTAGGCAGCATTCAAATGTTGGAGTGGAATGTTAGGGACAGAATTCAGAGGTAGGCAGTGGATAGAAATATGAAACTTAAGAGTTGACCCCAGTCTCCAAAAGACTGGGTTTTAGTTGCTGGGTTTCTGGGGGAAAAAAATCCTTTTATGAACATATGTCCATGGTCTTCTAATTCCTCATTAGTAATAAAATGTTTGTTGTTATAGTTCTGAAGTGTAACCATTCCTTTTAAAAATATAAGATCTTTGATAGGAATATTTCATGTCTGTAAAATCCCACTAGGAGAGGAGCAGTTGCTTTCCTTGAGGTAATTTTTTTTCCTTGCCTCCGTATTGCTGAACCATACAGCTTCATAAATAATTTTGCTGAAGGAAGAGAAAGTATTTTTCATAAACTCATTGTGCAGAACCGTTTATAGCTGTTGGAAAGAGTAGGTCTTTCCTAGCCCCCCAGTATGTGAGGGCATTGCAGACTTAATTGTACAAAATGTTTTGTAAATGTTGTTCTGTTCACCTGCAAATAAACTTGATAGCAAACAGTTCCCACTGAATGGCACTGTTCTTATGACTTCATCCTTCAGACTTGCTCAGAACCTTTTCACTGGGCTTCAGTCTCGTCTGTAAAATGGGGATAATAATAGTACCTACATCCTAGGGTTACTGAGCAGCTTACACACCTCTTGTATTAGGTTTCTATTGTTTCCATAACAAATTGCCACACATGTAGTGGCTTAAAGCAACACTCCCTTATTATCTCACGGTTCTGTAGGTCAGAAGTCCAAGGTGGCTCAGCTGGTTTCTTTGTTCTGTGTTTATTGGCAAGCCTACATTCCTTTCTAGAGCTTCTGGGGGTAAACTTGCTTCCAAGCTCATTCAGGTGGTTGTTCCTTGCAGGTGTAGGACAGATCCCCATTTCCTAACTGGCCATTAGCCAGGGGTCGTTCTCAGCTTCTAGAGGCCACCCTGCCTCCAACTTCATAGCCAGCAATGGTGGGTCAGCTCTTTCTCATGTTTTGACTCTCTCTGACCTCTGTGCCCCATTTCTCTGACTGCTGCATCCCTATTTCCACCAGCAAAATTTCCCTGCTTTCTCAGGGCTCCTGTGATTAGATCGGGAGCTCTGGTGGCATAGTGCCTAAGGCATTTGACTGCCAGCCAGAAGGCTAGAGGTTCAAATCCACCAGCCACTCCTCAGAAGGCAGACTGAGCAATCTACTTTCGTAGAGATACCACCTTGGAAACCCAAGGAGGGGTTGCTATGAATCAGAACCGACTCGACAGCAATGAGTTTGGTTTGGTTTTTGGTGACTAGATTAAGGAGCTTTGGGTGGCACTGTGGTTAAAGTATTGAGCTTCTAACCAAAAGGTCGGCGGTTCGAACCCATCAGCCACTCCATGGGAAGAAAATGAGGCAGTCTGGTTCTGTAAAGATTTACAGCCTTGGAAATCCTATGAGGGTCACTATGAGTTGAATTAGACTTGATGGCCATCAGTGACTAGATTGGGCTCACTGGATAGTCCAGGATAATCCCATCTCAAGGTCTGTAACTTTAATTACAGCTGCAAAGGCCCTTCACAGCAATACCTAGGTCAGTGAATAACCCAAAGAACGTGATTCTAGACGGAGCTTTAGAATTCTGCCTACTACTCCTATTTAACATGCTTTATTCACAGGTATCACTCTGTATTATCATTCCCTGATCCTCACTTAGATTGAATTAGTTGGAATTCCCTTTGAGGCAAAGAATGAAATGGTCGCATAATTTAGTACTGACATATTTGTAAGAGGGTGAGGGAGAAGTAGAGAAAATGGAGCTGCCACTGTTACAGCTTTGATCTTAATCTCTCAATCATCAGTCCTGTGAAGTGGGTATTTATCACATCATTTGAAAAATCAGAACTCAGGATTGAATTCTTTATTTGTAAGATTCTTCTTAGGGTTTGCACAGCTAGTCAGTGACCACACAGAGACCAGGACCTGTGTCCTCATTTCATCACTCAGCTTCCCACCTGCATCAGTTACTGACCTCCGGACAGAGGCACCAGTTCAAGCCTCAAGGGAATTTTGGGACAGGAGCTGGTCATGTGGGGAACCTGCACTCTCTCGCTTCTCCTTTGTGGGCCATGGTGGAAGGCAGTAGAGAGTTGCTGCCTTCAAATGGCACCTCTGCCTAAGAGAACAGCATGGGGTTTGGCAAAGGGCAACAGGATCAGGTCATGGCTGTTTCAATTTCTCTTCCCATCCAGCCTCTTAGGATTGTGTATCTTACGGTTGTCCAAACATACCACCAGTTGGGCCTCACCTGCTGCACGTCCTCTCTAAAGCCCATGCCAGCTCCCTTGCTACCTGCCAGGGAGACAGGGGGTCTCGGTATTAGCAATAAAGGCAGGCAGGAAGCAAAAGTGCTACCAGGACCTGGAGGTGAGCCAGGCTTCAACTTGCTGTCCCCACCACTGCTGGGTTAATAGAAAAAGTAATATCCATCTAGCATAGCCTGCCTTTCCAGGAATCCTGGATGGAAGCAGAGGTGACTAAAGTATATTTAAAAGTTTTCTGTCATCGTCCCTCAAGGTCTTCCAACAAACACATGTCCCATCTGTTTTGAGCACTGCATAACCTTTCTTGGACGTCAACTTCTGGCCCTAGCTCACACTGCCTGGCCCAGTTTAACAGTTTTATCTGATGATGGAGTAAATCTGTTTGTTCCCTTGACCTCTGGCTTTAAGATGTCCTCGCTTTTCCACTCCCCATCTTTAGCCCTCTCTGGGCACAGCAGCACTTAGGAACCAATTCCTGTGCTGACTTTATCTACAGTCACAAAATGAATTTGTGTGAAGGAAGGAGAGGAAGGATTATCGTCCTGCAGGCGCAGGGAAGGAACTTAGAGAAGAGCTCAGGCAGATTATCTCTATCCTAAAAAACGCAACCAGAATCTTCAACAAAGTATCAGCTCAAAGACACGCCAGAGAAAAAGAAAGGAATCAGTGTTGGGGTGGTTGGAGCGGAAGGAGCCAAGCTGCCCGGAATGTATCCTGTGAAGGCTGCGCAGAGCAGATAAGGGCAGCCCCAGAGGCAGACGGTGCAGAGAGACGGACAGGGTGAGGGGAACTGCAGATCTGCCTAAAGAAACCAAACGAGAAGAGGGCCTGCTAACCAGGAACACGGGAGTTTACACTCATCAGCTGTAAAATGGCTGAGCCAGAGGCCCCTTCCGCCGCTCTTCAGCATGCTTAGCTCCACAAGCCTTCACACAGCCTGTAAATCTGCCCACGACAAGAAGAAAATTAAAGAAATGAATCTGGGCAAATAGAAAATGAAGGAGAACTGGAGACAGCCAGCTCCTGTGGAGAGCAGGAATGGGAGGTGTAGAGGGAGCTGATCCCAAAACAAGTCTGCAAGATCAGAAGAATCTAAGGAGTGATTTGAGGGGCTGGAAGGAATCAACAGAACTGGAGAGACCCACTGCCAACATTATGGTAGCAAGGGAACAGGTTTGGAGGCCTACTTTCAGGGCCCTGGAAGGATAAAGCTGCTTAATACCAGCTGCATGCTGTGGTTCTCAAAGCGTGGACCCTGCCAGGGGCAGCAGCATTGCTCTTTGCCATTGTTAGACATGCGTATTCCCAGGCTGCACCTCAGACCTACTGAATCAGAGATTGTGGATGTAGGACCCTGCAATCTGTCGTTCTGATGCACGCTTACTTTTGAGAACCACTGGTTTAGTGTCAGGGGCTACTAATTGGTATCAGTTGTTACCTATGGTCTGTTGTCTCCAGGAGAGATCAATCTTGGGCCTGTTAAAGGGAAAAATGGTTTGTGGGCTAGTAAGTGGTTCTTAGCTACAGGGTTGCAGCAGCTGGCTTCAAGTTAACTCCAAAATGGTCCTTTAAGCAACTACAAAGCAAAGGACAAAGATTAAATTATATTAGCAACCTAGGAGCAGAAGGACCAGACTGCTTTTTCAAAAAAGAAAACAGGTTTAGAAGGTTTTATTAATATTTAAATTGCAATGAAACCACAGCTGCAGCCTTTGACTCCAGCCTAGAGATATGCAAATGTGGCTTTCAAAAGAAAGGCAATTTCAGCCAGCCCTCAAGGTAACAAGAACAAATAAAACAAATGATTTTGTAATTTATCTTTATTGACTGATGGCGTGCAAGGCACAGACAGTGCATTCCCAGTGAGCCAACAGCAGAGCTCTCTGAGGGGAGAGGAAGCCAGCCTGGAGGGAGAAAGGGAGGCAGGCAGGCCCAGGGACTGGTGACAGGAAAGACCCAAAGAAGACAAAACAGAAGGAGGCAGATGGGAAGAGAAGATGACTAAATTAAAAAGGAAGAATGGAAACCCAGCCCTGGGTCCTGTGGACCAGCTGATGTTGCCAGCTCTCAGGAGCAACAACAATAATAATCATTACAGGCTGCCATTTAATGCCACACTCCTACTAAGTGCCACGCACACAATATTCCCCACAAACAAATGAGGAAAATGAAGCTTTAAGAGGTAAGCAACTTGCCCAAGGTCACACAACAAAAGGAGATGACAGAGCCTCTGGGATTCAAACAACGACCTGACCTGTGTGAAGCTAAAGCACTCTCCCCCCTTCCCAGTGCACT